TAAGCCTTTAGGGAGGCATTTCAAAAATGAGCCCCCACTGCAACAGAGGAGAGTAGAAAAACAGGTTCATTAACCTGTACACACGTGCAGCTCACTCTTGTTTTTGCTCTGATTAGGTCCTGACAGTGCAAAACAGACTCCTATTACTGATTAGAGAATACCCTAATTTGGACATAGAGTATGACCAGCTGCCCTACTTTATTGTGTAAGTTTTTCATCATTAAAAAGAAACATAAAGACAAAGCTAATGGGACATAGTTTACACTGCATTTATGGGATCATTTTAGTGATAACAGCTGCTTGCTTTGGGAAGGGCAAAACACTGAGATCCCAAATAGGAAAGGTTAGCACGATAGTCCTGTGTAGGCTTGCAACCTCCTTATGTATTTGTCACTAGGTTGTCAGTGGAGTTTGTCATACAAGAAATTATTATTAGAGCCACCGACAGTTTAAGTTTGAGGCAGCGCCCCTTAAAATCGTGTTAGAAATATGACTAAATGTACATAAATTATTACAATACTGATTGTAAAATGAAACATTTTTTCCAAATAACTTCTTGGCCTAATGGATGGAGTTAAAGATAAAATATAGGCAGGTAAATTTCGCATCTTTACCCTGTAAAACTGGTGCATCTAAAGATTTGCAGACTGCAGCTGACATTATTGTGCCATTAATTTAACAAAACAAACCAACAATTAAAAAGCACCCTGTTGAGTCTGCAGAGAATTGATTGAAAGCATACTGTAACGCCTCCACGTGCAATAAACCTGCACATATTGATCCATTAAATACAACAGTTTGATCAGGTCAGAAGAGGCTGATGTGCTAAAAGTTTAGACTCTAAATAATCTGACATTTAAAAAGATGATGTAACAACAAACAGCTTTTTTTTGGCTATGTGTGGTCTTATTAAAGGTGAGCTCTTTAGAATGTCTTATTTTTAACCCCCTACGAAGGTTTTTGTCTGTTGCCAAAGGATTAGTAACTTACCTCTTAATACTGCCTAAGCGTCAGCTCTTCACATCACCCTGTGATTCTGGGGTGAGTGTTATCCAGCACTAAGGTTTGGAAAACCCACTGATCGCTCTGTGTCAGGCCTCAGAGGAGGTGTTTTTTGTGTGTGTGTGTGTGTTTTTTGTCTTTTTTTTGTTTAGTTTTGTAGACCGCAATAGTTGTAATGGCAGAAATGCCAGCAGCAGCAGAACGTGGGTGGCGTGTTAGGATGTTAAATCAACTGGAGCTATTGGGTTGTTGAGTTTTATGAGGTGTGAGACCTTTGCCACTCCATTCAGACTGCTTTACATTGAGGTCATAAGGATAAGAGATCACACCAGTGTGTGACCTGAGCTAACCACTATTGCACCACAACAGGAATAATTTATAGAGTCAAGAAAGCATGACAACTGAGTTAAAAGGGCCTGCTGTTGGCCTATCTGAACCTCTTGAGCGGTGACATACACATCAGAGCGACCAACGCAGGGATGTGTGGACTGCTTTGCTAAAGCATCACTTGCTTGTTAATTACAAATTGCATACAGGGCAGATAAGATGTGTATAAAAATCTTAAATAAGCATCCACAGAAGTCAGGAAACACTTATTGACCGAGGTGAGCTTACCCAGCAGCCCTCTGGAGTCTGAACCCATTCATTAGATGGGATCCCCTTTCTGCATAAACAACAGTTTACATCTATGAACTACAAACAGAGATTTTAGGCAGCTTGCAATCATGTTTTCTACGGACTCAGCATGTTGCAGTTTCAAGTCTCTCAGGTCTCATTTATATGGAAAAGTTTAGGGCTTCCTCAGTCCCATGAGGTGTTGCTCGTATGAAACTGACTTCTCATTTAGAGATGGGTGAAAACAAGGGAATCTGGAGAGTGTAACCTTCCTCCTGTGTTAGCTTTTACCACGCACCCACTATGTTAAGGGTCAGTTTTGACCCTTGTCTTAAATCAGCTGCAAATTACACTAAAAACAATTCTCTATCATCATATTTGGTTCTCATCTCTAGGTTACCCTTTTAGGCTTCATTACCCATGAAAATATTGCTCATGATATTTTTTGTTGTGGGACTCTGGGCCTTTCTTTGTCAGTATACCCCTCACACAGACATCTATACTGAATTGATCTCACATGTCTGGACATACCCGACATTGTTTTTTTGTGCATGGTAAAACATGGCAAAATGAGAATCCCCTAAATCTCACATGATTGGAAGAGGATCTGACTGCCAGTGTGAGCCTGACAGTGCACGTATGATTTTAGTTTTTGCTCTAATTATTGATTTTTAACTTAACCGGGACAACAGCGACTCTAACACGACAAGTGCCATAATTTTAATAAAAGCTTTTCATAATTTAGTCAATTTATTTTTTTATTTTTGTTGAAATATAATTTATGTGGTTCTTTTAAGCATTTAAAAACAAAAACGGGTCAGTGCTGACACTAACACAGGAGGATGGTTGAGCAATGGAAAAGACTCCAAACCATTTGATCCAAGATGGCTGTCGGACTTTGATCTGTACATAACCTCTTCAAAACATTGTCTAACAAGGATACCGCATCAGTGGGACATTCGCCGAGGCCGGATGGTGACATACTAGCTCAGTTATTCCTCCTCCATGTTTTGAGCCAGAGATGGAAAGAGTTCATTGTAGTCCTTTAAAGAGAAAGGAAAAGTCAGGGATGTTATCAGAGCAGCTGATCTTTACATAACTGGCCTCTTAGCAGACTCATAAAGGAAAAGCAGGGAACATTTTAACAGCACAGTGTCAAAGAGTCTTAAATAGAGGAAAACACTTACGCAATGAGACCCCCCATCACTCTTTTACATGCCCATGGGTAATGAAAATGACATGGGAGAAAGGACCTCTTTGAAAAAGGGGACAAAAGACTGTCTCTTTGGCACATTTACCTAAGGGAGACATAAGAGAGTCTGTCAGCATACATTTACCCAGATCCTGTATTGATCACCTCTTTGACCGTCCACCATTAACCTTTTACCTCTCCTTGCTCCTGAGCAGCCCCCCTAATAACTGCACTCTACAGAAAACTGCACGAGGATGAGAGACCCTGAAATCTAAAGCCATCAGAGTCATTTTATAACATTTAGCAAATCCCAATTTTTGACCCTTTTGGAAAATTGATTCATCCCATTGATAAAGTCGAAAACAAAAGCTGTGTTTTCTGGCCCCAACATGACAAGGCCTCTGAAAGCATTCAGGTTCCCCACGTCACGGCTGAGCTTCTCATATTTATGCTAGCTGAGCTGTAGGCTGGCAGGCCAATTCACTGGTATGTGTTTTTATTAGGTCTCTGGGGCCGGATAGCGCTCCCTCACTAACTCAGCTCCTTTGAACTCTGACCCCAGCTTCAATGGGAAGGTAGGTATAGGAAGAGGGTCAAGCTTCAGAGTGGGCTCACTTTGACTAGAGGTAACAATTTGAGGAGGCGTAACAGGTTATGCAACCTTGTTCCTGGTCGCTAATGACTCCATCGGGACTGAGGAATGTCTGCTATCAATAGGTCTCTTTTACATCAGTTGCTGTTTATGGCAACAAAATTAGCTGCAGTATGGTTAGATTGGACAGATCCTTCTCTGTGTGCTAGATAACAGCTATGTAGGGCATGTGACAAACCACTAGCAGTGTGCATAGCCATGGGCCATAAAACCAGTACAGAGGGACCCGTCTTCCAACCATCCCACCCCTCAAGGCAGCACTAATACACATCTCTACTTTTAGACACAAAGGATACAGGATGGTAGGAGGCTTTGAGGAAGGCAAACCATCCCACTCTGTCTCATATGATCTCGATGACACAAGGTGTAACATGAGGCAGAAAACCACAGCTTCCACCACTGGTTCCTTTATCGTCTCAGAGTGACTCTCAGCTGGGCAGGATTAGCAATGTGTGTGTGTATGTGAGCTCTTTCCTTGGGGTCAGTCCAGGCCTTGATCTGTCTAAGAGTTTCCGTTTCTCAGTTTTAGTTTCAGCAGAGCTCAAGAGCTTTGGTGACACATTGGGCCTAAAATCAAGTCCTTGTTATTTATCCTCATTGGCCTGAATTGATGTTCCAGCTGTAAATAAGTTTGTTTTATCTTTTTTGATTTCAATATAAGTTTACAAAAAGAGAAACTGACTTGCCTATATCCATCATTATACTTTCTCTTACAAGCAGAATACCTTTATCCGTGCTCCTACCCTGATGAGTTGTCTAATGGGATGCTTTGAATTCTTCTTTAATGACACACAGGTTCAAGGGGCAAACAAACAACTCTCCCACGGATAGGAAAAAAAAAAAGCTGAGCCGAGAGCTCTCATACCCCAAAGGCAGTGTCACATTCATGAGTGAGCACTGTGAGTGTGAGAACAAGGCAAGTCTCACCTGTAGCACAGCCAAGCCCATGAAGGGAACACATGCCGAGAATAACTTTAGACATGCCGAAAATGTTTTCCCTTGTCCAGTATGTGTGGGGTTTTGTTTTTGTGTTACCATGTTTGCTGAAGAAGCTTATATGGAGTTACAATAGGAAGGTAAGAGCAGGTAGCCATTCAATATGCTTATAATTGGACATCACAAACACATACACTTGTTGTACCCGATGAAGCTAGAGTTTTCTAACACTGCAATGCTTGAATGTAGTGCTGTAATTGTGTGGGATTTGTCACAATTGTTAGACTGCTGCATTTTAGAGTGGATAAAGAGCAAAGTAGCTTGACAACATAGATGTTGATATTGTTCTCTGTGTGTGTAAGGACAGCATCCATTATTTTAAGCCACTGTTGAACCAAGACTAATTTTAAACCACTTAATTTGTTTTGGGTACCTTATTCACAGGTAAGCTCCTGTCACTTGAACACAACTTTTGCCAGCTGGCTTGCCTTGCACCTTCAGCCCTCCCTCTAAGAGAGATCCATTGGCTTCCACAGCTGAACGTCAGCGCAGGGGGCGGGGACCTGACAAGGAGTTTATTGTCAGGAATTGGTAGTAGCGTTCAAACTGATTTAACTCACCGACTCTGTCACACTCGCGCTGGGCATCATCCGATGCGTTCACTGGATTATCTCCCTGCAGCTTGACACAGCAGCTCTTTGCTTTCATCGACACAATTATAATGCGAGCTTGTTTTTGAGAGCATCAGGAAATCGCCTCTGAAGTGTTTCTTTTATTTTCTGGTGGACAGAGCTGTGTCACTCCGAAAACCGCTGCAATGCCAGACTCAGCAATGATGAACAGAAACGGGATGGTGACAAACATTCACACGAGGATAAGAACTGATCCATTTACAGCCAACTACGACTTGGTCGGCAAAGAACTGGGCAGGTGAGTTGGTTTGCGCGTGAATGACTTTCAGTGTTTTCATTAATGGGACACCACGCTGTGTGTTGGCTTCTTCTATGAATGGCGCGGAATTAACAACTACATCTAGATAATCTGAACGAAATCGTTTAATCATCGGATAAACTCTTTGCACGTGTGTATAAGAAGCGTGTCGATTGAAAATGACCAGTCCGGCATGTTGACCTCAGGGTATTGCTCGGATGGAGACGCGCTTTGGCACGCGTAATGGTAATGCGTCCTTGCGCGTATTGAGTAGGTTCTGACAAATTCTGAGAGTTCCAACAAAAAAGGGAAAAACGAGTGGGGATTTGGTCGAAGGATATAAGTGAGTGATATCATAATGGGGGTTTTAAGCTCTGTTTAAACTGTCCACATATTAGACTCACAAGTCTGCATTTAAGAGGTGACATCAAGACAGTCCCCTCTTCATAAACCATTAGAATATAACAGTTTTAAATAAGTGCACAGTCTGCAGTCATACTTTTGTAGTTCACCATATTCAGAAACAGGCTGTCAGGTTTACTGACAAACTTCACAAGACTGGTGAGAGAACATTTCATTACAGCACACTGGGACTGTTACTGCTGTCAGGGGATATTTTGTTTATTGCTTACCAAAATGACGTCCAGCGTGGAGTGTGTTGTTCATACCTGTGTTTCTGCCTCATACTTTACCTGTTCATCCAGAAAATGCAGTTTGAAAAATGCCTTCTACTTTCAGCAACTTCACAAACACATTCCTGTGGTATTCATGTGGCGGTTTACCAGTGTGCCTGACAATAATGACTCTCCATGAGAAAAGACTTGACTCCTCCTGGTTGATTTAGCTGGACAGCTGTGTGATTGACATTTTGGCTGATACTGCTTCTGTCTGTATGACTCCATCTTCACTTTTTTGCTGTGTTTTGGGCTGAGTAGAGTATGTTGGTAGCAGGCAGCTGCCAGTTTTCCATGTCAGACACACTGACAACCCGGGACAGCAGCCAGGACTTGCATGAGGGGTAGGGGGGTGTTTGATTGAGGTTTTCTATATGGTATAGACCAGAGCAGCCTCATAGCGACCCCTCTGCCTTCTCTCACCCTCCTACCTCAACTTCACCGCCCCCCTTCTCTCCGCTTCCCAGGAGTCTGACCGAACAACATCCTGAGATCAGGCCTCATAATCGCATTAAGTAGGAATGTACGTAGTGCTGCATACCAGCAGATCAGCTATATGGTCTGTACATCCAGGCGGATGACAAACATATGAGGCCTGTTTGAGCTGGATTCTTCCTCTAAAATGATTCTCTCAGTTCTCAGTTAAGGGGGCCACTTGTCCTTGTTTTCATAAGTTTCTCATCACCGGGCTTTGCATCATGAGTTGTGGTCCTCCTGAGACTTCTGCGTTGTGGCTAACTAAAGTGCAGGAAGTGCATCTGTGAAACAGGCAAATAAGAGCTGTGAGAGCTGTCATTTCTCATTTTACCTCAGACATGAGTCAGTGCCCCTCTGAGCGAGACAAAACACAGACTCCACAGGAAACCGACTTCTCAATCAAATGATCACCATCTCTACAGCTGGTGGGGGGTGATTTTGCATGTGGTAGTAAAGTTTTATGATTGATGCAGATAGTTTCAGAAAGATTCTACAAAGGACAAGCCTGCAATGAGCTCATCTTTTTAACAGTGTGGAGAACCAGACAGGGTGTGTGACAAAGTACCCATTACAGTTTTTCTACAGTTACAGTGATGACTGTGTATTTTAGAGAGAGATATTTAAAACAGTATTTCCTTCATGTATTACCAGGAGGTCCTTTGGATCTGCCCTCTAACACTTCAAAGTATGAACGGAGACGGCTGGAAGATGGCCGAGTTTAGTAACCTCTGACCTGTTGTCAGCTTTTCTAAAGACCTCCTGTTGCTCTTTTCGGTGGCCTGCGGTCATTCCTTTTCACTCCCTATGTAGTTCCCAGCCCACGGCGAGCTGCTCTGAACTTGGCTACTTAAGGATGAAAAGGCTCTGACCAGTTTTGCCTTTTCACTTTGAACAATGAGTTGTCACGATTCTGAGGGACTGGGAAACAGCAAAAGAGAAGAAACAGACCTCACAGCGGCCAGGGTGGAGGCCAAAACAGGACCCAGCTTGTGCCAAAACAGTTGCTGTTTTTGGTCTGCAGCACAGTGGGCTCGGAGTAGCACTGTGTGGGAAATTGACTGGCACCATGCTGACGGGACCTCTCTGACTTGGCTGCTTCATTTAGATTCAGTCCAGTCCACAATCATCTTTTCACACTCTGGGTTCATTTTTCCAAAGCCATCTGCCTTGTGTCTGTTCATTCAAACACTGACATGTTAGTGAGATTAAGATATTGAGGTTGCAGCGTTTATGTGAGTAAACTGCTTAGGCTCCAACCTGACTGTAACAGCAGTGACCCCCTGCCTGGCCTGCCCTGCTGTGGTCAGGTGGGTGGTCCTGGTCCCCGGCTGCTGTGTTAGCTGACTGGTCAGCTTTTGTACGGCTGTCAAAAGAGAAGCAGGCTCTGGCCGAGGGTCTGGGCGGAGGTGTCAACACAATTCCATTTGTCCTTGCTGCTGTCAGCTGTGAAGAAAAGAAGGCGAACAAGGCCTCATTATCAGCCTGGGAGGGACGGCTGGTGATTGTGGTCAGCCTGACACAGAGAGGCAATTCTGCACACTTAGGACATCCTGCCCACACCCACAGTCGACCCCTAACACCTCAAATGAATCAGTCAATGTCCATGCAGGAAAATGACTGGTGGGGATGAAGTGGTACAAGTGGAGAAATGTCTTTTTTTTAATCTCATGTTTAACTGGTGACACCCGACAACCAAGCTGTTGTCTCTCTTTGTTCTGTCTGACCCTATAAAACGGACTATTCCTTATCTGGTCCCTGCCCGCTATTCAGCATAATGTGCCAAAACTGTCAGCCTTATCTGCCTCTGTTGAGACCCTCCTGAAGGCAAGAGGAAGAGAGGGGGAAAATCTTGAACGAATGACTGATGACTCTTCTAAAGCTGAGCATATCAGTGGTCCCTGGCACTGACTGTGTGTTTTGAATGATGCCAGCAGAGCGGACCCTTTTATCTCCGGTCGGTTTTTAACCGCACCTACACTGTTGTACTCAAAGCTGGTCAACGGGCTTTCTTTCTGTCTTGTCTGTAATCATGGTTTCACCTTATAGCATTTGAAATGTCAAGAGTACATCTGATAATTTTAGCCTGTCATTTACTGCATTTAACATGATCTGAATTTACTCCTGCGGTAACGTCGGCTGCTCGCTTACAAAACCGAACAAAAACCATCTATAACCAAATATACTTAAAAAATATAAACAGTTATTCTTTCTTCTAACTTCTCATTCACTCTCTTTTCTGTGTATCCTAGGGGAAAGTTCGCTGTGGTGAAAAAGTGCATCGAAAAAGCAACAGGGCAACAGTATGCTGCCAAGTTCCTGCGAAAACGAAGGAAGGGCCAGGACTGCCGCATGGACATCTTAAACGAGATTGCTGTGCTGGAGTCAGCCAAGACAAACCCCTATGTGGTGGCACTGCATGAGGTCTATGAGACAGGCACGGAAATCATCCTTGTACTGGAATGGTAAGAAAATACTTGATATATTGCAGGAACAACACAAAGATCTCTCAAAGCTCTCCTAACCGCATTAAAACAGCTGTGTCTGTCGTTTCAAGTCTGAGTTCAAACACTCATTGCCTTCTATGTGGAAAAAAAAAACTGATGGGAATGTAAATGACCTTTAAACTTTTATTGTCAGTGTTTGAGGATTGCCAGGAAAAATGGGGATAAAATGTTGAGGCTCTCAATCCTTAAGAACGATGATAATCCTTTAATCATAACTCTCTCTTTCAAACGCAGAATGTCTGAGGTATTCAATGACACCAAAATGGTTTTAAAAATACCCTCCTAAATATTCATTGATTTCTACTTATCAAGTTACCGGCACATCCTTCATTTGCATGATGCAATTTTCATGTGAATTCACAGCCCTATCTCTTCTGCATGAGAATTACTGTATATGGCGTTTTCTGTCTGTCTCTTTTCTCGTCTCGAGAAAAAGAGAAAACCGACCTGTGAAAAGCACAAGCATAAATGGAAATGTTCTCACTCGCTGTGGCTTGTGGCTCATCTCGTTGTGGCCTCAACACCTCAGTTTCATGCTGAACGGCTGCCAGGAACTGTCACTCAAAATACCAATGTGGCAGAACTGCATTATGCTTGCTGTGTGAAAATTACAATGTCTCGCTGCAGATCAGTCAGTTCGGCTCTACCGTGAGAATATACTGCCTCTTTACTTCGGATGATGTGTTTCACGTCAGCATGCAGGTGACCTGGCTGGCTGCTAAGTCAAGCTGTTCAGTCAGTGACCCAAAAAATGGCATCCGTTCTGTCTGGCTCTGGTCTGTTGGAGTTTGGTGTTAAATGACTTTATGCATCTCAGTAAGTGTCTGCCTTAATGCCCTCTAATTAGGATTTGGAAAGGGCACTTAGCATCTTAATTACCCAGCTCCCACTCATCACTTGAAGATAACTTTGGGCAATTATACATGAACCTGCAGCCCCCCCTGCCCAGGCCCCTTAACTGCTTGCTTTTCAAGCAGGAAGCTGTCCTCTGCCCAGTCCGCAATAGTCATCCCTGTCCCAGACATGGAATGCCTTTACTGAACAAAGGGCTCTCTGTACGGGGGGGGCTGTTTTTGACCTCTGACTGAAGTGTGAAAGGGGAAGTAACACCATGGTTCACCCCTCCGTGCCTGCAGAGAAAACATAGCAGGAGGTCAGTCGGTACCGGTCCACTGTTCCTCTTCAGCAGCCTCATAGAGCTGCAGTAAGAATTGAGCATCATTAAGCAGGAGCTACATGCAGAGTATATGAGGGCTTGGTTTTTAAATGACAAACTGTGCAGCTATTGCACTGCACAATTGTCTGTAAAGCTCATCTACAAAACGTCTGACCTCAGTTTTAGTTTTAAGAATTGCAAACTATTTTCCGTTTCCTGCGGGTTTAAATGTAAGCTGCAAGCACAGTTCCCAAAAGCAGAACGCCACGCTAGTGCAGGGTTTTAAACACCTACACACACACACCTCTTGCAGCCACAACCACATCCTTTGCAATGTCAAAGAAACTGAAGCGAGAAGCTGAATTGTAATCATCTTTTGACAGTCTATCTCTTGCGTGCGTCAGTACCACAGAAACCCCCGACATAATTACTAGTTTTGAGAGATGATCACCAGGCTCTGCAGCCTGAATGTGCACGGCAGCAAAAAAGTCTGCAGTGATTAATTCCTCAGATGGAATAGTCTTTTATTTCCTGATTTTCCCCCAAAAATCAATACAATCGGACAATGCTGGTGTACAAGTGCTGTGACAATCTTAGTGCTCAATAAGCTTGGTGGTCAGCCAAAAAGAATGTGAACATTAACTTTTGGCAGACTGACAGTATTTGGATTTGAGGGCAAGCATTGGATCGTTCCTGGCCAGGATGTTTGCAGTCTGTTGTACTTAAACAAGCTCAAGACAAGATCAAGATTTCAAATCCTCACAGGCCGACTCTTGACAGCTGAATGAAGCTATTGATATATTTAGTTACCTTAAGCTTTTAATTGCTCAGACAGGTAACTGCAAGAGGTCAAATCCATGTTAAGTTGACAGAATGGATTTAAAGTTCATTTTTATTTAACACCAACTCAGAAGGCATTAGGATTTATTTCTATTGCGGCTTTGGACAACAAAAGCCGTCAGACTATACTCATGTGTCTTTCATTTCCTCTTCAAAATGGATATACTAACACTAGGCTTGTTTGGCTTTCATATTAAAAGACTGATCAAAGTAAACAGGATGAGTGCTGAGTTTCGTTGAAGTGAGACTGGGGGAAATGCCGAGTTGAGTGAGACTGAGTGAGCTTGTAACAAACAGGGTAGGTGGCAGATCAAGTGTTTGGTCCTGAGAGCAAAATAGATTAAACGGACCATTGACGGATATCCTTCAAATCCCCAAAACATGGTAGCTATTTTCACAGCTGAAGATGGTAAAGAGTGCAGAGTTGGGAGGCCGGTTATGTAACAGTAATGCCCAGGGCCTGGTCACAAAGTTTTCCTTTACAGATAAAAAGCATATGTAGCATCTAAATCCCCCACACATGGCTCTAGTTTTAGGGTGAACTGTCGGCTTGAGGCATAGATCTGACTGATGGAGCATCTAACGCAAATCCACCATGTCTCCGCGTCACTTAAAGTTGTTACACAAGAGGAGCAAGACCAGGCAGGAATCTGACTATTCCCTCCGCAAAAATGTGAGAAGTAACTATTAAGTCGCCTTCTTATTAAATTCCATAAAAGGAGAGTCTACATGCAGCCTGAGGCTCATGCTGTGAGTGTACATCTACCCTTTTAACACTCCTACTCTCACTATACTTCATAGTTTTCACTCTGTGTTTTTCTATTTCCAAGAAAATATTTTTGATTAGTTCAACAGTCTTTGCTTATGATCCCCCCCTGTTTCAATTAGCAAGTTTATCAGCCTGTTAGCCCTTATCAGAAACTGCTTGTAAGCTGATAAAGCGGCTCTTATCTGCAGTAATATTCCTGGCACGGGGAAGGTGCATGCACAGACAGACTGCCTGAAAAAATATTGATTTATGTTGTACTTGTATGCAGGGTGTAGATGTGGATGGACTTTGTGCCTTCAAGCCAAAGAACACTAATGAGGGGATGAGGTGTTACATAATTTAAGATAGAGTGGAAATTACTTTGGGCTTTTTTTTGCTAAAAGTGCACTAATGGGATGGGTTGGAATTTACTATTGTCTGGCTTTGCAATTTAGACTGAGAGGAAGGGCGTATTTATACAGTTTAAGGTACAATTTATTATGATAAGTTCGAATGAATAATCAAAAAATGAAAGTAAGCCAAACTAAACTCCAGTGGGTGGCTCAGTTCTTTGCTTCTCATCTTATCCTTGTTTTGTTTTCTCAGTTTCCCTTCCTTTGCTTTCCTTTCAGTGCTGCTGGTGGTGAAATCTTCGACCAGTGTGTTGCCGATAATGACGACGCCTTCACAGAGAAAGACGTGATCCGGCTGGCCAAGCAGATCCTGAATGGCGTAGCTTTCCTGCATCGCAACAACGTTGTGCACCTGGATCTGAAAGTAAGTGTCCCGAAAGATAACAATATAGGAGAGTCTATTCCCCGGAGTGGGAGGATGAGGGGGGTACGATTTCTGTTATGCAACCAGTGTGTCGTGACCTCATTCCCGCGAGGAATCGCCTAGTTACAGAGCATGACCGAACTATCATCTTTTCATTAATGGGGCCCCGAGGTAGCATGCATCACTGAGATTCCCTTTCCACCTAGCAATTTCTCAAATTTCTCGGTGAACATGTTGCTCCACTTTTTTTAATAATAGGAAATTAGACCATGTCCCCATTTAAGGAGGGATTTGAAACATGTTAGCGCGCCTTGACATGCTGTAAGGCCGGTGTTTCCAAGAGATCAATCTTATCCACTCTTAAATTGACCCGGCTGTTGTAATCCAGGCCTGATAGTTGGCCTTGACTTGCCCTTATCTTTTTGTGTTTATCTCAGATGTTCAGTCCAACTGTGGTATCATTCCAGGCTGGCAAACGTACAACTGTGCTTAATTCAAAGTCACACTACTTGAACACGCTTTTCCAACAATGGCGTCATAATAGTGGTTTGCTGCGAAATCCTATTTGTGTAACTGATTCATCTGATTGGCTTAAAAGATTATCTCAGCAGAGCAGCAAGGTACTGACTGTCAAACCAGACCCCAAATCCACTTTGGGCCATTTAACCAGTATGGCTTGATTCATCTACACTGACAGGCTATTTAGACCTCATTTGTCAGGCCTTAGTACCTTGAATAATCATCACTGATTGTGTAACATTACTTAATCTCTGTGTTCTTTATTAACAGCCACAGAACATCTTGCTGACCAGTGCCAGACCTCTTGGGGACATCCGTATTGTTGACTTTGGCTTGTCCAGGTGTATGGACAACATCACAGAAGTAAAGGAAATCTTGGGTACCCCAGAGTATGTAGGTGAGTCCTGCTCTCAGCACTTAAAGTATTACTAAAAATGACCTAAGTCCACTTCATTCAGATGCCGTTTCCTATGACTGATTTAGGCCATGTGTTTCTGTTGCAGCACCAGAGATCCTGGACTATGAAGCCATCAGCACAGCGACAGACATGTGGTAAGTGTGCTGCTGCAGTTAAGGGACTATTTCCTCTCATTTACTGGGTCTTCTGCAGAACTCATTTAGTCCGGGTTTTACTTCTTGGTATTCAGAGATATTTAGGGCAGTGTCATCACCACCATTACATGCAAAGACAGACTAGACACTTGACCACAAGATCATCTTGCAGACCTGCAGATGATTATGATTGATTCTAGTGTAAAACCACTGTCTTACTTGATGTCTGTAATCATCAAAGATGCAACGTGACCTCATTACCTCTTCCGCCCTTCTCCAGGAGTATTGGGGTGCTGACCTACGTCATGCTGACGGGGGAGTCTCCCTTCCAGGGGGATGACAAGCAGGAGACCTTCCTCAACATCTCCCAAGTCAACGTAGACTACTCAGAGGATACTTTTGAGGGGATCTCCCCCCAGGCTGTTGACTTCATCAAGTCTTTGCTGATCAAAAACCCCAGGTGAGGATGTATGCAGTAAAGATGAAGATAAGATCAAAATATTCAGATTTCTGCTGAAATGATACATTTTCCATCAGCGTGTCTTTAAGCACACAAAGGATGTGAGTCACAGGTGCACAGACGTACATCCGCATGTGTCTAAATGAGTGGATGTGGTAACCAAATTTATGTCACTCAGACAAGCAATTTCCTCTTGCTAATAGTGGTTGTATGATAAGAAGAAACACTTCTAAGGTCAGAGTTTTTATGGCACTACACCAAACACTGATAGGTCAGTTTTGAATGTAGCCATGATGGAAAGCATCATCATTGATTGAAAGTGAAGTGGATTACTGGGGGTGTTGGATGAAGTGGAAGATTTCTCAGTGTTTGAGTCAATGGTGTGAGATGGTGAGGAGAAGAATCTCAAGATCAAACTCTGTTTTTTTTTCTGTGGTTTTCAAACCCTAATGCTGAAAGAGAATATGGCCGACGTCTGTGAGAACAGATTGAGAGAATCCGATAATCTAGGCAATCCATCGGTTATGTAAACTCCTTGAAGATTTCCACTCATCCACAGTGTTATTGTGTTTGTGTGTACAGGAAGAGAGCCACGGCAGAAGAAAGCCTCAACCACCCCTGGCTGAACTCCCTCCCTCATCCCCATTCCCACCCGCACCTCCACGCCAGCCCCGCCTCCTCTTTGGACGAGCCGGAGGCGAGCCTGTCAGAGTCAGAGCCCGATAGTCCAGCTCCTTCCCCCGAGCTTGACTTGATCGAGTCTTACCTCACGTGCCCGGGCCAGGGTGAGCTGAAGACAGGCCGTGATACTTTCACATTCAGCGAGGCTCCCTTTCCCACGCGGACTGAGATAAAGCAGGAGCTCATCTGCTGAAAGACGTTTCACAGGTGGAGAGACTGAACAGTTTTCCAATTCTGTTGAGCAGATGCTGAGAGCCAGCGAGCCTGCAGCTTTTTTTGTCTGGACCTCATTCAGAGCCATGCTATATGGATGCTGTATGCCTGCTGTGGGCATCTCCTGCTGCTGTGATGTCTGTGTTGTATCTGTTTCCTCTGAGTGTGTGTTAAATTAATGTACACTATTCTGCGCTGTTTAAGATCTCACGCGAATGTTGGAGGAGCAGAGATGCAGTGAGCAAAAACACACGTGGACTTTGTCACAGGACTGCACTGCTGCCTTAAAAGTGACCGAACTGAACTGGGCTCAGCAACACAGTGGCTAGTTTCCCACTGCACACACACACTGGTTTCTCTTTTGACCCAATTCATCTTCCAGACTGTTTGAGAAGAGAGAGACGGTCTCCAGCTCTCTTGGGAGAGGACTTCACTCACTGCATGCACTCATCCTAACATGATATGCTTCAGCTGACCCAGGCATGCGTCCTGTGATGAGTTTAGTAGAAGCAGGTCTCGAGTACGGATGGGTGGTTGAACTTAAAAACGTTATACAAAGGGCAGCACCTGAGTAGATGTCAGGCAGTAACTGTCTCAAAGTTTAATATGTTTATTTATGAGAGTTTGTTATACCACTTCAGCCCTTTATTACACAGAGCCACATTCACAGCATAGATTGGGATGGAGACGGTAGCATTTTTATTTAAAGGACAATCTTAAGCACTTTTATGTTGTTATTGGACTTCCAGTTTATAGTGAGAACCAAAGGCTACTTATGCACAGTTAAGTCAGATGTCACATAGTATATAGTACATCTTCACCAGCTGTTCAGGTCAATTTACCTTTCTTCACCAAGTGCCACTTTGCAACCTTCACGTTTGCGTGAGTAGTCAATTTTGAGTTCAACTTTTTGTTTTATTTTTTTGCTTTTGCACAAGTTGCACATTTTTTTTGTACTTACACAAAATGCAGCCACCAGGTCTTTCAGTAGTCCAATTCTGTGACTTCAGTTTTTCAGTGAGAGAATGAAGGTGGTTTAAAGTGAAGGCGACTTTTTGTCTGTTTTTGTATGAAAAGATAAAAAAAAAATAAACACATGGTCGACCCAAAGGCCTGGTTTAGTCATGTTTTTGCCTTCAGATGCTTGGGAGTGAAGAAATTAAGAAGAATTTCTTAAAAAATAAAAATAAAAAAAACTGAAAAGTGTATTGTAAGATAGTATTAAGATTAATTTGAAGATAATTGTTTTGTTTTTTACCAGTGTTGGAATGTTAACATCATTAAAAATGTCTTATTTTGTACATTAACTTTTACTTATTCCTGTTGTTTACTGCTCATGATCTTTAGGCAGGTTTGCACTTGTCCTTGTGGACGTTTTTGTTAAGATGAATAAATGATGATGGCATGCATTGCAAAATGAAAAGATTAAAATAACAGGTGCATTTTGTATCAAACTCTTTGGCCTTTGTGTGATTGTTTCTTTAGCAGCAAATGAAACAACCTGTTGGAGACCCACTCCGACTGAAATCATGTTTTTCTTGTTGTCTACATGTTCATATGGCAATTTTCTGATGCCACAAGACATATCATATAAGTAAGTGCGAAATTGCATTTCTGAGTATTTCTGCATTCAAATTGCTGGCAGACCCAAACGGCAGGTCTGACTGTCTAGACTGTATGGACAACTTGGTTTCGCCTTCCCCCATTATGCGGATTTCAAGCAGAAAAAACCACGCTATTTCCGCGATTTTTCTCAATTTCCTGAAACCAGCATTATGCAGTTGTATCAAGTGTCAATCAGAAAACATGAATTCCCCAATAACTTTTAAAAATGGAGCTGTACAGAATTAAGAGGATTTGGGCACAAACCAGTCTGACAGTAACTACATGTCAACATCACAAGCAGTGGGGAGAAAAATTTATGTTCTGTGTAATAGATTTCTAAATTTTGTCCACAGCTCCATAAGCTTTGCTGGAGGAGGTGGGATTTATGACCTTTACTGCAGCCGTAGTCACCAGAGTGTGTTGTTCTCAGAGTGGCTTCACCCAGAGAGGAGGCAGACAGCGTCCATTCTATAAACAGTCTATGGTTCAGACAGTGAGATTTCCTATGTAGCAAATCCAAGCTCCGCCCCTGGAGCTATGCAGGCCAGACTCGGAGAAGTAGAGAAGACAATCGAGGAACAAGTGTGTGCGTTAGTGGATTCCAATGCTTGTAAGAAAGCTAATTATGATATTAATTTTCATCATGTCCCCAAAGACATTAGTTTCTGAGAGCTGAATAGCTCCTATGTTACCTGCTTCTACTACTACACCAACAATGTTAGGCTACAAGTTAGCATGAAGAGGTGTCAGAGGTGAATTGCCAATGAGCTACTGGAGCTCTGCAGAAGAACAGCTTCTGAAAATGACACAGGTAACGTGATTTTTGCAAAAAAAGTCATAATCACAATTCAAAGACCACTGAGAACACTTTAAGTAGTAAAAAAAAATTATTGGGACTTTAAACTTGCAGATGAATATATTTTCAAAGTCTTTAACTTGGTTGATTGTTGTCAAATCTGAATTAAGGGGTTCAGATGCACTTTAACTAAACCAGATTTGATCGTGGTTCTTCAAATCTCTGCTTTTCATTTTCAAGCTCACATATTCCAAGTATCACACAGCACTGATGATACAGACCAATACCATCTGGTGTTTCTGTCGCTCACCTGTGTGTGTAGTCAAGAGAAAAGTGGATCTCAGACCATAACAGGTTGTCCAAGTTTGAACCGGATCACATGTGGAGCATCTGCTTTTCCTCTCAGAGTGTCTATTTAGAGAAACAGAGTATCATAAAGAAAATAAAAAGTCCTCTCTCAAGCCAGTCTTCCATAAATATCCAGCAGCCTCTGAACAGGAAATGCCAGCATCCTGTGAAGAGGAAAACAGAGTGCTGCTTTCCACTGTAGTAAAGTTTCTTCTCTCTGTGTCCTCATCCCAGGCACACACACTATTGTGCTTGTTTATTTGTGTCAGGTTAAACAACATCCCTGCCCGCCAATATTCTGAATTCTTGCTTTAATGTGCTCTTCCTCCTGCGGTCGGCAGCGAGCCAGTTAAACTCTGCTGTGGCCAAGCAGAAGAGGAGGGCTCCCTGCAGGGTCCTGCTCCTGTGACTCTTGGCCAAAGCGTCCACTTCCCCTAAAGAAAATCCTGCTGCTGCTGCATGGAGCCGAGGAATGTCAAAAATGTTCATAACTGAACCCTTTTCTTTTTTCTAACCATGTCCTTTATGTCTCTCTTCCCTCCTGGCCTCCTCAGGATTGTTTTCTCAGTGGGAGGTAGTATTGTTTCCATAATACATACAGCACTATAACCCCCATCACACGCACACACACACACACACACACACACACACACACACACACACACACACACACACACACACACACACACACACACACACACACACACACACACACAGTTATTGAAGTGGTTGATTAAGTGGCTGTTTCTCAGAAGGACTCTCAGGATCAGGAGATGCGACTGATACGTACTGCGACCATTATAGGATGATTTAAGACAGATGTGAAGGACTTGGTCCCGTCTGCTGACTGCGAAGTGCTCTACAAAGTCTTGCTTTGAACTATAAGAGGACCTGGGTCCAAACAAATACGAGGAGTTGAGGAAAAGTTTACAGCAACATCCAGATAACCTGCTTTTAACAGTCTTTGTGGACTCAACCCAAAGAAGGCCTGCTTAATGGTTTTTACAATTTGAACATGTAAACAAGAAAGTTTGTTATTAAATATACATTCTTTTCTCTTGAACGGCACAGGTAGATGATATTAATTTAAAAAACACTGATTATCTTGGGATATTAAAAAGTCTTCACATCTGCTGTGGAGTAAGATGTTTTCGCTGAGGGCATGCAGCAGGCATTTCATCTCACGTTAACCAGACGCTCACCCTAAAGTCAAGTCTGTCAGCACCTCAAGCCATAACACATTGATCCCCTGAGGTTCATGAAAATCCAGGGTTGGGATTTCAAAATGTTAAGCCCCCTGGAAGCTGGAATGACTACACTACAGGTCAAAACGATCAGTTATATAACCAGAACCTGTTTGACAGCAAGTTGAACTTTTAACAGAGGTTTTCCCAGCTGTGTGCCACTCACAGCTCAGGAACGCATTACAAAAACGGTGCAGTGACTTTTATCAGATGTTTGTTTTGCATAGCCTTAGTCAAATATTTTCTGTTATCTGAGTGAATAAACAGAACATGAAAGAGGAGCTTAAATTAAAAGATTATGACAGGGCTCCACAAAAGGCCTGTTAATCTCCACAGAATGACCCAGGACAGAATCACAAAAGAGCAAAAGGAACCACATCACAAAAACACATGAAATGTTTATGAACCCACTGAGCATTTTTTGGTCTAAAAGACATCTAATAGACATCTAAATGTAGCCGAGACGACTGGTCTAAAATCAGGCTACCACAGGTCTAAAAATGAATATATACTGCACTGTATATAGCTTAACAGCTATCATTATTATTTGGTTGAGTATTTGGAGATCAGTTATGCAACTCACAGTTGCTTTTTGAAATAAATAGCAAATAATGGGTTAAAGTGCAATGTCTAAATTCCATCTAAAAATATACAAAATCTAGACGGTTTAAATTAGGTTTGAAAAAAAAAAAAAAAAAAACTAGAGTGGGGAGTGGGGAATATTCAAGAGCTTGAAACATCTGCCTGTGAAGTCATGCACTGACACCAGAAAATCAGATATTCCTATCAGCTCCAGTGACGCTCCATAATGTAAATTATTTCCATATCTTCTTCAGCATGTTGGATCAGAATTAGCATTTCTCTTAACACTCACAGTGTTGCAAGCATGGCTGTCATTATTATTACTTTTTTTTGTCCTCTTTTAAATTATTTTAGTTAGGAGCAGGCTGGGTCTGCTTTTTGGCTCATTAAAACTTGAAAGTTGAACTTTTTTTTAAGATCGTTTCAAACTTGGTGCTTTGTATAGATCCACTTAAAGTCCCACTCTGATCATTTTTTACTACTTATTATCAGTGGTCGTTTAATTGTGATTATGAAGTTTTTAGCCACTATCACGTTACCTGTGTCGTTTTCAAGGGCTTTTCTTCTGCAGAGCTCCAGTAGCTCATAAGCAATTTGCCTCTGAGTCGTAGGCGGAGACAGCACTGCTATTCACACTCCTCTTCATGCTAGCTTGTAGCCTAACATTGCCGGTGTAGTAGAAGAAGCAGGTAACTTAGAAGCTATTCAGCTCTCAGACACTAATGCCATTGGGGACATAATGAAAGTTAATATCATAATTAGCTTTCTTACTACTATTGCAATCCACTAACACAAATGCTTGTTCCGCGATCGTACTCTATTTCACTGAGCCTGGCCTGCATAGCGGGGCTACAGGAGGCGGAGCTTGGATTTGCTATGTAGGAAATCTCACTGAATCTGAACCTGAATCTGCCAGAGGTTAAGCGATTTGAATGCTGAAATACTCTTACACTTATTTTTCTCATGATATGTCCTGTAGCATCAATAAAATGCCATATGAATTGTAGACAACAAGAAAACCATGATTTTCATCATAGTGGGTCTTTAAAGCCTTTGGAAGTTTAGTTTTAAAAAGAACAAAAAAGACATAGATCACGGTAAAGTTAAGAAAGTGTGGGTGAAATATACTGTATTTCTGTTCTGTTAAACTGTCCTTTTAGTCCGATCAAAGTGTCTTGTACCCTATTCTTTGTTTTTCCATCAGTTGTCATTGCTTTTTTCAATAATGAAGAGACATAAGTGACGTAACATGCACCTTCCAGCTTTAACAGAGTATCAGATGACTCTTTAATCACTAATGAATGACCCTGATGGTTGAAAAGCTGTGATTTCACTTGTAACATTAGAGAAACACTCCAAAACTTAAACCACAATTATAACAACAAGGTCTTGAATGGTCTTGGTGGCTCTAAAGCTTCTCATCTCACAAGCAGACATCCAGACAGTGTCTGTCAAGTATTATTCCAACGACACACATAAGTTAATGATTAAAGTCCAATAGCTCACATTTATGATGTGCCCTTGTTTCTCAATGACCCAGACTTACAGGTTGCCTCTGTGCATGACCCACTTCTATCATTATGTAGAAATAAGGGGTTCACCACTTTTTTCCTTTCCCTCCATCTGCCTGACTGCTCGGTTATCTGTCCCTCCTGCCTCTCTTAATCTTAGTATCCCTAGATCTCCTGAGCACCCATTTTCTCAGAAGTGTAGCACCTTATATAATGATGAAATTCCTACGAGCTTATGACAGAGAGTGGACTGCCAAATAAGAAAAAGAAAATCAAGACAGTGTGCGTATATAAGGGATACAGGGGTAGCAAAATCAATATCGATTATAACTCTTTTAAAATATAGCCTCAGTTCAGTCACTCTGTGA